ATAATATAAAATTTAACTTATAAACTTAAATAATCTTTAAAATATCTTATGATAAACTTATTCACTCATCCAAAGTATATTTAAACATAAAAAATGGCCTTTGGTTAAAGTCACAATCGAATTCTCAATAATCCAATTGGACTGTCGGCAACACGACTCGTGTGGGGGAGTCACACGACTCGTGTGGCCTCACACGACTCGTGTGCCATGCCACACGACTCGTGTGGCTTTGCCGACACTTTTGCTCTTAATCATTCATCTTCTCACACGACTCGTGTACTATATCACACGACTCGTGTAGCTTCACACGACTCGTGTGGCTCATCACACGACTCGTCTCAAAATCCCGAGGCTAACTTTCATCACGTCTCCATCCCACACGACTCGTGTGCCTCTCCACACGACTCGTGTGTCTGTTCACACGACTCGTGTGGCTTGTTCCTTGAAAATTCTTAATTTCGGTCCGATAACTCACTATCTTGGACTCGAAATCACTTATTTCTTGGAACAATAACTCATAATAACTGAGATAACTGAAAAGGGATATTACACCGACCCTTTTGAAGAGGAAGCGGATATATGATTAAAGCTTGTCCTTTTACGATTCCTCCCGTCTTTTTTTTGAAGAAAGGGGAGTGATTACCTGTAACATCATTTGCTTTTGTAACGGGAAATTTCAGCATTACACATCGTACATCCGTACATTATCATCTACTGTTTATCTTACAGTCCTAGTTTCAGGTGATCTAACGCTTGAAGTATTGAATTTGAACTGATATACATTGTAATTCATTCACAGGGAATGAAATCTGGAATCTGTACTTCTCTGAATATCAGAAATTATAAACTTAATTAATACACAAGCAGGTTGAGATATATCTTGTGGGCATTTAAATCTCTTTTCATAGTATTTCATTTGTAATGTGTAAAATGTGATGTATGATAATGAGAAAGCTGACACCTTTTGGAACCAAAATGAATCGAAACTATTGTACTGTATGCATCTTGGTGGGATATATACAACAGATGAGTTGAGGTTTATCAGTCCTCAAATATCAATCCAAACCCAATCAAGATAGGGATTTGTCTGCATATTCGCACTTTCAATTTCATGATACGATTTTTTGGTTTGACAGCAAATGCTCTAAGATGTTTGGCTCATGTGGTAAATCACATTGTTAAATCTGGATTGAATTATATGGATAAAACAGTGGCTTCTATTAGGAATGCAGTAAAGTATGTTAGAAGTTCACCTGTTAGACTTCAAGAATTTAAAGCATGTGTAAAAAAAGAAGAGTTGGATAGCAAAAAAGTTTGTGTGTTAGATGTGCCAACAATGTGGAATTCTACCTTTATAATGTTGGAAACAACATATGAGTTGAAGTTGACATTTGATAGGCTAGCAGAGGAGGACAACAAATATAAGGGGTACTTTGATGAAGATGAAGAAGATGATGATGTGACTGATTTAGTATTTGGTACCGAGGGGGCAGAGGGTAAGCAAAGGAAAAGAAAAAACAGAGGGAAAAAGAAAGTTAGGCCACCAACTGAAGAAGACTCGTATAGGGCTGAGGCTTTTATTAAGTTCTTGAAAGTATTCTTTGATGTCACTCTTAATGTTAGTTGCACTATCACACCAACTGCACATAAAGCACTTAGTGAGATTGTAACAATCAAGTGTGAAATTTATGATCTGTTTGATGCACCAGTGACAAATCAAAGCACTGATTATGAGAAGACTTGAGAAGACTTTGTTTAATAATTCGGTGCAAATTAGGAGGAAGTATAATGCGATTTTTTTAAAGTATTCTTTAGTTTTAATACCATTTTAATTATAAGATGGGGACTAATAAAAGAATCTAGCACATTATTTTAAATACATTTTTCAATAAATTGTATATCAAACATATATATTCAGGTGTGTACTAGTACATCAAAAACACTGAGTGGTGATAAAAGAGCCAGACACGAGCATACTGTGGTCCAGATAAAAGAGAGGCTTGTGGAGGGGAAATGGTCATGGTATGTTCAAGTAGATGCATGTGTCATAACATGTATGTTCTATATTGTAGTTGTCTCTTATGATGCCTAATAGCTGTAGGTATTTCAGTACTTGACTTGTACATATAATATGAGTATGCTAATGCAATACTTATGTTTAAAATACTGGTACAACGAAATCAGAAAAGATGAAAGACCAGAAAATAAACTCAAGAAAAACACGTGTATTGAATGGTCACATTATGATGCAGAATCTCGGGTTAGAACTGAATTTTATCCATGCAACATGCATGCTGCATTTTGTTGTCTTATCCGCAAGTATTCAACACGTGTTAAGAAAGATCTCTTCATATATTGGTTTGAAAACATATCAACAATATTTGAAAGGTAATTGGTGTTGGATTTGTTGTTATTTTGTATTACTTTTGCCTATATAGATATCGTTGTCCATGAGGTGTTAAAATTCTCAATGTTATAACTCGTCCTTTCATTTCGTGTATTTTAATTTCTAAAGAGCTTAATGAGGAAAGTTACTGTTTTCAAGCTTCACTCATGCATAATTGTTTATGCGGGTAAAACATCTGAGTATCGTTTTTTTCTCTGTGATGCTTTTATTTTCTCAAGTCCAATATAACATCTGATATATCTAGTTTTTCCCTCTGTTATGCTTAATGCTTTCAATTTAAGTCCAATGTGAAATCTTGTCTCTTTCTCCACGGAGCCAAATTTTGTTTCCTTTTAAACTCACATGTGTGCTTGGCTTTTTCCAGAATAGCTAACATTGGTAAGTCATTCTCATATATATTTGTACATAGTATTGTCATTCCATTTTGTTTTAGGAGCTTGCAGAGTTTCTTGGCTGATGGTGCCCCGTTCGCTTCTCTTGAATTTTTAGTATTTTTATTGGCTCGCTTTTGCTTATTTATTTGCCTTCTTTTATTCGATTGATGGCATGTATTCATTTTATTATCACTGTTTAATTATCTATTTGTGCTTGCTTTTATTTGGGTGTTATGTGCATTGCTTGTTTTTTCTTTACTTATGTGCATTGCCCGTATTTTATCTTTATTGCTCGTCGAATCGGTCGTTTAAAACCTATTAGATGTCCTCGTCTTTATAATCTAATAGATCGAATAATTTAGGTAGACGCTTTCATTTACTTAAATTATTTTCAAATTTATCGTGTTCATCAATCGAAATTGTTCGGGATCCAGCGCGTCGTATTTTTTGAGCCGTTTTCTGAGCGAGTCTGGAGTTTGATACTCGGCCCATTTTTGTTAATTATCTGGCCCAGTTTAATTGTAGATTTCGGTTTAAGTGTTGCAATTTATTGGCCCAAATCCAAGAGTTAAACCATGTAAAACCGGCCCACTTTATTCTGCATTTGCATTTTCTGCCCAATAAGCTTAAAGAGTTTTTGCCCATTAAATCCCCCAAAACCCGTACAAATCCTTTCTTTTCTCTTCTCATTTGACGCGTTTCCAGCCCAAATTGGTCTCCCAAAATTCGATCTCCTTAGGCCAAAATCAGATCGAAAAATCGCCTCCCCTCCCTCGATTTTCTCCCGAAAATCCCTCCTCGCCGGCGAACCCTTAGCCGCTGCCATCCATCAGCAACCGCCGGCGTCTCGCAACGGCCCATCGCGCGCAGTCGAACGGCCCAGCCGAGGAGGAGCACGCCGCCGCGAGAAGGCCGCTGACGTCCGTCCACCACCGCGAGAAGCCTTCCTACCGCCGATGTCCGCCCGTCGCATGCATCAGACGAATTGCAGTACCAGTGTTGCCCTCCTCTCTTTCGACTAGCATCCACCGTGAAGCGCCCCGCCACAGCAACGCGCCGAGATTTGTCGGAGACGCGCGGCCTGACGCCGACACGAGCGAGCAACCGGTCGAGTAGCCACCTCCTTTCGCCGGCACCAACTCGCGAGCCCACAAGCCCCGCCTGGCCTCAGTCCGTTCACCAACGGCTGAGATCCACCGTGGGCGAGAATATCCCTGAGCAGATCTCCGTACGCTCTCCCACAGCAGCGCTCTCCCACAGCAGCGAACCACTTTTGCGAGCTTCTTACCGCGGTTATCCACCCTCAGACGCCGCCGCCGTCCGAGCCCCAGTGGGCAGCAGTTGGCGGACCCGGTTCGTGATTGTTTAGATGCCTCGAACCGTGAACAGTCTAGACTGTCGGAGACAGCTGCGCCCCGACAGCCTCAACTAAAATGCGCTTAGATCCGCCTAGATCCTACTGTGTGTTGCAGAGTGTCGAGCTCTCGTAGAGCCCTTTTCAGATCCTAAACTCGAAATTCACCTTTACATGCGAGGACGGTAGGATGAAGGGGCTGTACGAAAGTTCTGACACTCTACAACACACGGCGACTTGCTGGTGCATTTAGTTGAGGCTGTCTTCGACAGTCTAGGCACNTGAGGGATGTGTTATCTGCTCATTGCCTGCCTTGTGTGAAAAATTCTGAAATTTTACTGAGAGGCCTATTTTATGTGTTTGATAATGCTTGTAAATGATGGGAATTTTTGGAGTCCGTTTTAATTCAGTTTGGATTTAAATTCGATAAACTGCTGTTGCTTGTATGAATTTTTAAAAATAGCAGCAATTATCATTTAAGGCTGAGATTTTTATACATGAACTTTAGCATACTGTATGTTGCTGTGTAAAATTTTCAAGTTCAGATTCATTCATTAAGTCTGAGTATGAATTAATGTGCCCATTTTGCTGATATCTTGTTCGAGTTTTATAAAATAGGGTGATTCGAGTTTAAAGCTGAAACTTTGTGGTTTTACATGTTTCTGGGAGATGAAATTTTGTGTAAATTTTCAGATCTTAACTTGTAGGGTAGCTTGACCATCTATTTTCATGCGATTAAATGATTTCTATTTCCGAACATGATTTTTATATGAAATTTTGGGAATCAACTTGCTTTTCGTTTTTGATGTGAGTTGACTTGGTCAATCCTTAGATGGATTTGTGTAAACTCCCTTATGTTGTTTGGTCGAGTTTAGAGCCGAGTCTCAATGTTCCAACATCCACAGGACTTCACGAACTACTTAGTCGAAACGAGTTCGACTAGGTCTGTCTTGTGATTTCTGATTTAAGTCGAGATAGATTCTGATTGTAGGATCTTGTCATAATGTAGGTGTTTAAGAGGTGTTGACCTCGCCTCGTTTCTGGATTTGTGATCCTGTGAACTGTTGCTGCTATCAGGTGGGTACATTTATGATGTATTCCATATTTATCGCACTCATTATTTCGTGTAATGTTTTCTTTTGAAAATTATTGTATGCATGAGAACTCTAGTCTAAGTGTCCCGAACGATAGTGCCTTTGACGAATGCATAACAGTGAGAGGTCACCTGCCCATTGTATCCGGGAGGAGACGCCCTGATCCGTGTGTGTTTCGGGGGGGAAAAACATCTCCACTGTCTCCTGGAAAACATCCATGATCCGTGAGTAGTTCGGGGTGGACTCCCATGATCCGTGAGTAGTTCGGGGTGCGGGAAATTTTCCAGTTACGGCCTTGTCGATGTTTGGTCGGAAGGTTGTTGTATGTACATAGGAGGTTTGCGATAGGGCCAAGTAGGGAGTTAGACTGTTGGATTCTATGCATACTGAATACTATGGTTATGATGGTTTAAAAATGTTATGCGAGATATACTGTGCGATAATGGTGAGCTTGTTGGTTATGCTCACCCCCATTATTTTCTTGTTGTCTTCTCTCTTCCTTTGTATTAGGTTGAGGCGAGCTGGAGGCGGTGGCGTAGGACGAGCGAGATGGTGGTCATTAATTGATGTGTCTTTGCTTCCGCCTATTTTTGTTATATGATGAACTACTTGCTTTTATTTTGGATTATTTATGCTTCAGCTTGAAATCATGTTTGTGTTGGATGAACCATGGATTTATGTTAAACTTTTTG